ATCCTCAGGGATATCAACGCGTTACCACTCACGCTGAGTGACGCGTTAAGACAGTGGTTTGAATTGGTGTCGTGTCTGGAGTGATCATACACAAAGCGTTTGCTGCACGATTCATGATGCCCAGGGGCCTTGGAGCGAAAAAGGGGTGCCTTTTGTGACATTGTAGAAGTCCCTGTGGCTAGATTCATTTCATCGCCCTACGGAAAAGCCGGGTCACTTAATCTAATGGAATTTATCTCGATCCGATTCCTGTCAACAGAAGTTTAGACAGACCTTTCTGTCGCTTTGTGGCCGCAGATTATCACCTTCGACTTTGGTATTTGGCCCATCCTTATCATAAGTCAGCGGATTGGAGAATCCAATCCAACCACACGAAATGTTGGACATTGTGATAACGAAGAACTTTATGATTCATTCAGATCGCAGGATCACATCATGACACTCCGATGGGCCATTCCGAGTTGCCCCAAGGCTCTGTTTCAAAGCAAGGCTAAGTGCAATGCTATTGTTATGAAAAGGACTTGTTATTCCCATGAAGAGGAAACTCGTTTTTACAAAAAAGGTTTTGCACTAAGCCTCGTTTAGAAAGTGAGAGTTTTTGCAACTCAGAAATGGCCTACCCCTTCAGCTGAGGGTTTAACCATCTTAGTTCAAAGGACGACTCGAATAAAAATTATAGTAAACTCGATATTGAATATTCTATAGCTGCGTAAACAAGTTGAGACGAATGAAAGTCGAAAGAGCTCATCAACTGGATCATGGTAAAATTACTCGAAATAATTCCTTTCTTTATGGAAGTCATTTTACAAGGGTGGGGCAATAATTTATTACGAAAAAAGTAAATCAAAAATAAATGTTGCTTTCGCGTAGAGATTAATTTCTTTGGTGTTGACATAGGTCACACCTGCAAGGTTTTATAGCCTGAAATATGGAGAAGGTATGCAAGCATCACTCAAGCATTTATTGGGATTGTTTGCAGGGAGGGGAAAGACTGTGAATTGCATGGTAGTGTTTTCGTTTCGCTTGTCATATTTACGTTTCCGTTTGCTCGAAATTAGTGAAGGGAAAGTAAAACAAACAGGATAAATTCCACCTCTGTCATTACCTCTGCTTTGAAAAATATATTGCATGGTATTGGGCGTCCGTCAAATCCTACAAGTGCTTGCGCTAGTACTGTCGACCCAGGCCACCAGTCGTTTCCAAAGTGAGCCTTAAAAACTTTGCAGTGTGAGCAGCCTTGAGTCTTTCGAGTCAGTCTGTTTTTTGTTTCAACGACGCACTGTTCTCTCTCGTTTTCTGCCCTTTTAGACGAGGCAGATGAAATCATGATACAATAAAATAAAGAAAATTAGGGGAATGTTCGTGATGAAGGATAAAACTTTAATATTTTGATCTGTACAGACAGTATTGTAATTAAGTGTCCTCCTTAACCTTTTTAATCTCTAGAGCTATTCGCTTAATTTCTTCAAGTCCTTCTTCAAGCTGTGCCGCTGTTGTTTTCTCTTCCTGGTCTTCAGGTGACTCGCTTTCGTGACCATTCTTCACCGAAGTGTCCTCAGTCCCAGACAGTTTTTTAATGACAAGCGTCACATACTGGTTTAATTTATCGTAGGATTCAGGAGTTAGTTTATCTTTCAGGAAGCCTATTATCTGCGGCACGCACCGGCCGGGGGCGTGCAACATGCATCCTGTGTAATGCTGGAATAGTACCGCTGCCGCTAGATGGAGAGCCATGGCGGGCTCGTTTTCTTGCCGCAGCTGTTCTTGAAGAGCACAGCGCCGTTCTACCGTCAGCTGTCTGCAATGACAATCCAACAGTTTAAAAAAAAACTCACTGAGCTAATATGAAACCCGGCTGACACTAAAGACTGTGCTGCTTATCCCAGTGTGTAAATTGCAGTGTACCTATTCACCAGCTTTTTGAATTGATGATGAAAAATAATTGTCCACAGCGCAGTGAGCTCTTTCTTAGGAGAACAATTTCGATACCAGCTCCGCTTCAGCAAGGTGTTCGCCTCATAGAAAACTTAATTAAGAACAGACGAGTTAAGACTAAACTACACAATTCAAAATCAGGTCTTTGACCAGGATCTACTGTATTTAACATTTTTTCAGTAAAAAATAAGGGGATTTTCCCCAGCTACTATGAACGTGTCCCCGGCTACATTCAAAGGAAAATAGGAGAAAAATAGAACCAAACGAAATCCCTAGCTGTTTGATTCGCTACCTACTTTTAGTATCTACCCAGCGACTTAAAATCTTAGTGACAACCCTGTCAACTCAGCGTTGTCATTCAACTAGAAACAAGTCTACTAACCTGTGTAGACACCCCCCCCCCCCCCCCCCCCACCTCTCCTTCCTTCTTTTTTTTTCTGGGGGGGGGGGGGGGGGACCAAGGTCAAAAGGGTATAAAACAAACAAAAAAAGATGTTTCTAGAGGGTGGGGTTTAGAAACAAATTTTTAAAAAAAATAAATAAAATGGGATTTGCAACAAGAAAA